CTCTCTCTCTCATGCTCTCGCTTGCTCTCTCTAGCTCTCTCAACTCTTCCTTCTCCCTGACTCTCTTCTCTTCTTCCCTCCATTCCTTCTTTCTTTACCCTCCCTTCTGTTTTGGAAAAAAGTATAGTAAGGACTGGGCATGTAGCTCTGTGGTACAGTGCTTTCCTACTGTACATGAAGCCCTGGGTTTGATCCCTAAAACTTCACAACAAAACTATCGTCTATTCCACGCTGATGGAAATGATGCACCTTCGAGGGCAGGACAGAATGGCTGCAGCTGAGTGCCTGGTGACCAATGAGCACAGACAGGTGCTGGTGCCTGAGCGAGGTGAATCTGAACACACCCGAGCCAGCCACAGGCCCAAGAGAAGAGACGGCACACATCAGGGAACGCCAGACGGCGAGTTAGCAGGAAGGAGACAACAGCCAAAATTCTCCCATGGTTGCTTTTATTTCCTCAAGAAAATAGAAAACAAGGTCAGCAGCTAGGGTGGTGAGGAAGGTCTTAGGAAAGAAGTCTCCAGAAGACTGAAGTAGACTGAAGACACTGGTCATACAGCTGAGGGAAGACCAGCAGCACACTCAAGAGTGAGCACAGAGACCAAAAAGAGCAGCAGGTGGCAAGGCCTGGGCTTCACCAAACAGAGGACAGCCCTGGGACACAGGCAATAGCTGAGGGAGCACTCAGGCAGGTACAGTTCTAACCCCAGCCAGGCAGTGTAGCCTAGGCTAGGAAGCATGAGGATATGGGAGATGAAAGCTACTGGGAGAGAGGCATGCTGGGTCTCTACTGAAGGAAGGACTGTAGGAAATGGAAAATCAGAGGGAAGGAGCTGGAGAAACAAGAGGTGCAGCTGGAGTGGGGACCCCTGGGTGTGAAGTGTGCAAGCACCAGGTCACTGTGGAAGCCAAGGCTGTCCATGAGCAGACAGAGCACCAGAACAGAGGGCCAAGGAGCTTCCCAGAGTGCTGGGAAGGCCATGTGCAAGGACAGCAAAAATCACAGATCAGAGAAAGCCATCAGAAGAGAGTGGTCAGGAACAAGGAGCTACCATGCGCAGGAAAAGCACGAATGGCCCGGCAGCCTGGCAGGACCATATAAGATCCAAGTGTTAGAGAGGGACAGAAAGAAAGACACCTAGCAAACCTCCAGAGGAAAGGATGGAATGTAGGGAAGAGCACAGAAGGGTTGTGGGAGATGCACCACCCACCTCCAGAATAAAGACAAGCTGTGGGGAAACAGAGGTGACAGTGATGGAAACACAGTGCCGCTGGGGAGGGCAGGACGGGAAGAGGTAAGGATATGGGAGTCAGGAGTGGGCTAATTCTCCGTTCTAAAAAACATGCAAAAGTTCCAGGAGCTAGGGGACATGGAAACCCAGTCAGAATGAGGCACCTGGAGATGTAGGGCAGGAGCCCAGATGCTGTAGACTCATCTCCTTCACCTGTCGCAGGCTGAGTACTAAGTACACCCTTCACTCTGGGTCTTTAGGCAGAGTACAGAGGAGACATGTATGAGGGACAGCAGGGGTGGAGTTCTGCCAGGGTCAGCGGGAGTTCGAAGGACTTTACTCCTGCCAAGCTGATGGGGACAAGGAAGGAGCTGCCTCAGTGACGTGAGTGGAGCTCCACAGCGCCCTCCTGTTCACCTAGGTGTTTAGGAGCTAAAGCCCTGTGCGTTCTTATCCTTTATTCCCCTCGTCTTCCACCAACTAGTCTGTCACCTTGAGACAGTCTGAACTCATCTGCACCACATCTGATGCAAAAAAATGGAGGTGAAGGCAGAGCAGGTTGAGGACAGGATGGCTTCCTCAGGGCACATGGTAACAGTGCACAGCTTTGCTTTATTTATTAACACGGCTTATGGAAAACAACATTAACAAAAGTAAAACCACTCAGGAGTTTAACATTACAGCACCATCAGGTGTCAGTGAAGAACACAGAGAAGCCACAGCCAGGCATTCTGTGTTTCCGCTGCACTGGCACACTTAAAGGGGGCAGGAAAATTCAGTGTCAATGACAGAGCTGCCGCAACGTGCAGCACTACCTCCAAGAGAGAACCCAACTGCTAGAGTGAACACAAGCATCTGAAGGTCCCTGTGATGTGCACACACCTGCACGTTTGATGGACCATAAGCAAAGCACCACCCTCAACTCTGTGATAAATCAGCATCATAAGTGTATTTTAAAAATTTGTTACTCTAGGGGCTGGAGAGATGGCTCAGCAGTTAAGAACACTGGCTGTTCTGGCAGAAGACCCAGGTTCGAATCCCAGCACCCACACTGCAGCTAACAACTGTCTGTAACTCCAGTTCTGGGGATCCAACAGCCTTTTCTGTCCTCTGTGGGCATTGCATGACATGGGTGCACTTACCTACCCACAGGCAACATACACATACACATAAATTTTTTTTTTAAAATTGTTACTCTCTTGAAGCTGGATAGTAGGCTCACAGGTTAAAAGCACTGGCCGCTCTTGCTGAGGACCCAGGTTCGATTCCTAGCACCCACGTGGTGGCTACAAGTGTCTGTAACTCCAGTTCCAGGGGATCTAATGCCCTCTTCTGGCCTCTATGGGGCACTGCACACACATGGTGCACTTAATACACATGCAGGCAAAACACTCATACACATAAAATAAAAATAATTTTTTAAAAATCTTAACTCTCATTCTATCTTTCAACAGCAAGAGTAAAAATGCATCTGCTTATAATTTAAAATATAAAACAACAGCTACAACAAACACATTTGACATGAAGCCAGATTAAAAGAAATCCATGAAGACAGCTTGTCTAAGTGCCTGTTTCTATCCCTCCTTAAAAATGGTAAATCATGCCAGGCATGGTGGTGCATACCTTTTCTCCCAGTACTTGGGAGGCAGAGGCAGGCAGATCTCTGTGAGTTCAAGGCCAGCCTGGTCTACATAGTGAATTCCAGGACAGCTGGGGCTACAGGGAGACCCTGTCTCAAAAAGACCGAAAAAAAAAAAAACAAAAAACCAGCAAATCATGAAATGTTCCATCCTTCTCCCCCTCTGCCCACATTAATCAATAAACTCTATAGAGTTTGCAATTCTTAACACACAGTCAAAATGTCAATTTGGCCCTAGAATCATTTATACAGTAAACAATTCTTCTGCCTATTGGATTCCACCTGAAACGGCCTATAGTGGCCAACCACAACAATACATCATTAAGAAGTTTCCCTTTGTTCAACTTGGCTTCACCTTCAGTAAGTTTAGCCTTCTATCAAGTACGTCCCTTTCCATTTCTTTAGCTATAAGGAAGTGGGCAGGTGGAGAAGCCAGGGGAGTGAGAGATTCTGAGGGGCCTTCTGCTTCTGTGGAAAGAGAAGACAAGAATAGGCTTCACTTCTGCTCTGTTTTGGTTAGGCACCCTATCTTACACTTTCTGATCCATACACATACCTCAGAACAAAGTCTTCTTGAACTACAGGAGAGAGTCTGGTATCAATTTGCAGCTTGGGCATGTTTATTGTGGTAGTGTGATTATCAAAAAAAGACACATTTATTACAATATTTGCTACTTTAATAAAATTTCACAAAATGAAACTGTTGACCAAATTTATATTTTGAAGTTGGACCAGAAGACTGAGAAGATGGCTCAGTGGGAAAGGTACTTGCCATGAAGTCCTGAGATCTAAGTTTGGATCCCAAAAGTCATATAAAAGCCCATAATAATTCAGTAATTCTGTGACCCCAGGCAGTCTCTTAGTGGGAGATGGGGGTGGGACAGGAGAACTACAGGAAGCTCAGGGCAGCATGCCTGACACAGGGAGCAATGAGAAAGAGACACTGTCTCCAACAGGTGGAAGGCCAGACTGACACCCAAGGTTGTCTTCTGACTTCTATACTCACACACATGCACACACACAAAATTATTGTTTAAATGTTAAAGGAGTTTTGATAAGTTAGAACAATAAAAGATGGGGGCTGGAGAGATTGCTCAGTGGTTAAGAACACTGACTCTTCTTGCAGAAGACCTGGGTTCAAATCCCAGCACCCACATGGCAGCTAACAACTCTGTAATTCCAGTTCCAGGGAATCCGACAGCCTCTTCTGTTCTCTGCAAGCATTGCACAACAGGGGTGCACTTACCTACATGCAGACAATACATGCATACACATAAAAGTAATAGAATATTTTTTCAAAAAGAGAAAAGGAAAGATGATTATAGTTCCAATCTAAAAGCTTATCTGCATCAAAGCATATAAAGTGATCAATAGGAATTATCTAAAATAGACACAAAATGAATTTTGTGAGCCGTGGACAGAAGTTCTAAATAACACATGAGAGTCAATGGTTTAAATGTACAACTTGTAGTTGAATAAAGTACTACATTTCTTCTGTTTCTCAGCATTTTGTATGGAAACCACTCTCCACTCTGTACCTACTCTTGAATAATGATTCATAAATGTAATCAGGTATTGATACCCTGATCTTGGAGGGGGAGGAGGGTTTGTCAACATTTTTAAATGACTGTATAAGAAAAGAGTACAAGTCAAGTCACTCGGAGAAGTTAAAGGAAGTCTAGCTGAACTACGCCGTCACTCTTTTCTTCACTGGCTCTTCAATGCAGGCCACATTCATCCCTAGTTTAAGCTTCAGACTCTGAGGTTTACCTGGTTAACAGCTGAGACCTAACAGTGCTCTTGAGAGTGGTGTTCTTCCCTACAAGAACGGTGACTCTTCCCTACACTCAGCAGCAGGGAGAAAGCAGGCTCCAGTCACAGAGGCAGTGCAGACCTGCAGCACCTTCACTGCAGTCATCCATGGAGCTGCCGTGGAGTATGCTGGCCTCCAGTGGCCACTGTCTCCAAGAGAGCCAGCCCCGTGGCCTGAGTCCATCTCCCTCAGATTCTCATGAGCACCCATGTCACTTGTAAGCCTCAGAGAGGATTATATGCCCCCCGCCCAACTATCTGCCTGTGCTGAATTAAACCACTTTCTATCCTGATCTAAATAGGAAGCGTGCACCTACCAATTAGTCGTCTCTGGAGTGCTTCTTCTTCTAGGGTGATCATATAAATTTGTTCATCCAGGTCTTCAAGAATCTAAATTTAAAGATAATACTATTCAATAGTGCAACATTATAAATTCATGTGTAAAAATGTTTAGACTCTCTAGTCTCTTATTTTAAGACTATATATTACATTCCCTCAAATAACTAAGGACCCGAAATAAAAATGCCTGATCTATATTATTTATAAAAATTTAAGCCAGGTGTGGTGGCACACATCTTTGGTCCCAGCACTCCAGGGGCAGACAGAAGGAGCTCTGTGAGACAGAGGCCAGCCTGGTCTACATAGCGAGTTCCAAGCAAGATGGGGCTACAGGGCAATCCTGCTACGAAATACACACACACACACACACACACACACACACACACACACACACACACACACACACACACACACACACACATACTCTCTATTTGTATATATATATATGCTTTATTTTTACTACATTTATGGTTTTTATTTTATTTTAGTACTAACATCGCAAAACTTAGTTATCACAAAATCCACATACATTTAAATTGGACACTTTAAGGAACACACTTTGTAGCAGTCTCAGGGGAAAACAAATGCATGAATTTTAAACAGCCAGAGAGCATATCTTTATGCCCATGCTGATATTTTAGAGCAAAAAGGAAGAGATCATTTAGTATAACATTTGTTCTCTGGTTTATTTTTATGTATATGTCTAAATCAAAAACCTATAAACTGCCAAGTATGGTGGTGCACACCTTCACTCCCAGCACTTGAGAGGCAGAGGCAGGCAGGTCTCTGTGAGTTTCAGGCCAGCCATGGCTACATAGTAAGACTCTGTCCTAAAAAAAACTCTAAACTCTATCAGAGGCAGGCAAAGTATCCCACTATTATTACACTGACAGAGTGAAAACCCTCCGTGACTACCGGAAGCTGAGGTCAGAACCCTAGAGAAGTGGTTGCTTACATACCACACTCAACAGCATGCCTCACAGCAGTAGGGAATAAACTCAATCACCAATTGTATGGGCTACTGTCTGAACAGCCTTCAAAACAAGTAACACCTCAAACATGCATTCAAATATGGCTTAGTTACCACAACTGGCCTATGAGAAGACTCTGCCTGGCTCTGGGAGAGTATGAAACAAGCACAGCACTGACAGCCACAGTCTCTATCCTTCAAGCCCAAGCTGCTGACTCCAGCCTAGCAGTAAAAGGGAGGGGCTGGTGGAGAACGGCAAAGATGGGGACACTGTATGTGTACTTATCACCTGGCAAGATGCTCTCAAATCATGTGATCTCTATCCAGAAATGTTTGTAAAGCAATTCAATGCTTTCTGGTCCTTCCACAAGTATCTATGGTCCCCTGAAGCCTAGCATTGAGCTAATCACTGGGCAGATATACCACCAGCTCCACCCCTGAAAATCAATAAATAATAATAACAAATCTGTAAGAGAGAGCAGATAACAGTGACACAGAAAGATCATCATAGGAAGGACAGGAAGGGGAGACCTTTCCAGAGCTCCTACCAAGGTTGAGAAGCAGCACATGCTACAAAGTGTTGATGGGGGGTGGTCAATGACAGAGGTGGAATGCAGGTGGGGATGGACCCAAGTAGGTTATCCACAAGGGGCTGGAGACCGTACCTCTGCGGTCTATGATAACATGGGAGTGACCCAAGATGGCTACTAGGTGAGAGTGGCAGGGACAGAGCTTGCCTCTCCATCAGTGTTCCTCATCACTTTCTGCCGTTTTAATTAGAGCATGCTTCCCTATCCTGAGGTCTAACACACAAGAATTCTCACCTCACAGTATCAATTATGGGCAACTGTGGCAGAGCTGGAGTGACAACATGAGAACTGCAGGTGTGTGCCACGTGCCTCTGGGCAGCCAGGCAGCCCAGCATCCTCAGCATTGCATACTCCAGACGCACAGGCTTCACAGGGAAACATATGATGCCTGGGGGCCATGGAGGACTAGGCAGCCTAGGCTCCAGACATGGACTTGTCCTCACACAGCTCTGTAATCAGCTACGAGGTCTCCCTGACTTGGAATGAATTCAGCCACAAAAATGAGACCACCACTATCCAACCCATAGCCAGTCATCAGGGTGAAATGACACTGTGTGTCACATATAGTGCTGATACCAGCATGGGGCACATGTGTAATTACTCAGTAAGTGGTGGGAATAAGACACAAGTCTGGGAGAAAGATCAGCATAGGGAGAGGAGAAAAAGTATGCTGCCTTTAAAATGTAGAGTTCGCAACTGCAGTTTTCAGCAGCACTGAAACAGACTGCAAAGTGTCTCCTTGTCTTCTCATTGGCATCTGCTACAAGTGGCAGAGAATGTCCAGAAGACAGGCAGGGCAGTACCAAACTTCAGACTCAGGAGTGGGAACTGAACACTTGTCTACAGGAAGTAGAAATGAAAAAGAAAGAACATCCGTCACTTGCTTTCTGCATTTGTGTTACTTCACTTAGTATAACCCTCTCTAGCTCCATCCGTTTACCTGCAAATTTCATAATTTCATCTTTTCTTACTGCTGAGTGATCAGAACTCCACTGAGTAGATGTACCACATTTTCATTAAACATTGGTCAGTTGAGGGACACTTAGGTTGTTTCCATTTCTTAGCTATTGTGAAGAGAGCAGCAACAAACACGGACGTTCAGGTATCTCCACAGTAGGATGAGTCCTTTGGGTCTATGCCAAGGAGTGGTATCACTAGATCGTACGGTAGGTTCGTTTTTAGTTTTCTGAGGGTTCGCCACACTGCTTTCCATAGTGATCGCATTCCCACCAGCAGTGAATGAGCGTTCCTCTTTCCCCACACCCTCTCCAGCCTTCGGAGTCTCTTGTTCTCTTGATCTTTGCCAGTCTGACTGGGGTGAGATGGAACCTTACAGTGGTTTTGATCTGCATTTCTCTAATTACTGGGGATGTTGAGCACTTAGTGCTTGTTAGCCACTTTTATTTCGAGAACCCTCTGTTTAGGTGTATCACCCATCTTTTTATTGGGTTGCTTTCTTTTATCTTTCTTTTTTGAGTTCTTTGTATATTCTGGATCTTAATCCTCTGTCAGATGTGTACTGGTACAGATTTTCTCCCACTCAGTGGGTTTCCTCTTCCCTTCCTTAGTTGTTTCTCTTGATGTACAGAAACTTTGCAATTTAATGAGGTCCCACCTACTGATTGTTGACCTTAGTGCCTGAGCAGCTGGTGTCTGATTTAGAAAGTCCTTTCCTACGCTTACAACTTGGAGGGTGCTATGTTTTCTACTAGCACTTTCCTAGTTTCAGGTTTCATGTTGAGGTCTTTGATCTATCTGGACTTGACTTTTGTACAGGGTGAAAGATAAGGGTCAAGTTTCATTTTTCTGCAGGTGGAGATGCAGTTTTGCCAGCACCACGTGTTGAAGATGCTGTCTTTCCTCCACTGTGTGTTCTTAGCACCTTTGTCAAATATCAGGTGGCTGAAATTATATGAACTCATGTTTTGGTCTTCTATTGTGTTCCATTGATCTATGTGTCTATTTTTGTGCCAGTACCAGGCTATTTTTATGACTACAGCTCTGCAATATAATCTGAGGTCTGGTCTGGTGATCCCCCAGCATTATTCTTTTTGCCCAAGATTGTTTTGGCTATCCGGAGTCTTTTGTGATTCCATATGAATTTTAGGATGATTTTGTCAAGCTCTGTGAAGAATGTCATGGGTATTTTGATTGGGATTGCATTGAATCTATAAATTGATTTTGGCAAAATGGTCATTTTCACAATATTGACTCTACCAATCCATGAGCATGGTGGGTCTTTCCATCTCCTAGTGTCTTTCTCTTTCTTTAGAGCTTTGAAATTTTTGTTGTAGAGATCTTTAATGTCTTTCATTAGGTTTATTCCTAAGTACTTTTTAAGGCTACTGAGAATGGGAGGGTTTCCTCAAGTGCTTTTATGGATTGCCTGTTACTGGTATATAGAAAGGCTACTGATTTTTGCAAGTTGATTTTGTATCCTGCCACTATACTGCAAGTATTAATTCTAACAGTTTTCAAGTGGAATATTTGGGATCTCTTATGTAATATATCATCTGCAAACAGGGGTAATTTGACCTCTTCTTTTCCAGTTAGTACTCCTTTAATTTCCTTCTCTTGTCTTATTTATCTTGCAAGAGTTTCAAGCACTATGTTGAAAAGGAGTGGAGACAGTGGACAGCCCCGTCTGCTTCCTGTTTTTAATGGGAATGCTTCCAGTTTTTCTCCATTTAGGATGATGATGGCTGTGGGTTTGTTGTATATAGATTTAATTATGTTGAGGTATAGTCCCTCCAGATCAATTCCTTCTAGGACTTTGAACAATAATGCATGTTGAATTTTGTCAAAAGCCTTTTCTGCATCTACTGAGATGACCATGTAGTTTTTGTCTTTAAGTTCATTTATATGTTTTATTACATTTACTGACTTAACATATGTTATACCATCCCTGCATCTCTGGAATAAAGCCAACTTGATCGTGGTGGATGATCTTCTTGATGCAGTTTGCAAGCATTTCGTTGAGTATCTTTGTATCTATGTTCAATAAGGATATGGATCCACAGCATTCTTTTTTGGTTGTAGCTTTACCTGGTTTTGGTATTAGAGTGACACTGGGTTTATAGAAGGAGTTTGGGAATTCTCCCTCTGTTTCTATCTTTTTTAATAATTTAAACAGTACTGGTTGTAGATTTTCTTTAGAATTCTGCTATGAGACCAAAGGACATTTTGACTTTTAGCCAAGAAACTGGCTACTTTTCTCTGGGGTCTTTTCACACTAACTGCCTAGCCAATTCCTACCTCCTATTCTTATCACACCATCCCCTGAAGAAGTTACCCAAATTGCCAATAGGGAATCAGGATGCAGACCACTCTGGCTTCTTCCATGTTGAACAGGGATGCAGGGTGAGGCAACTGGGGTACCCCTTCAGTGGGTCTACCTAAAAGACTCCCAAATTGCATAACTCTTATCTCTAAGGGAAAAAGAAAGTCCTTGACTGATGAATAGGAGATGTGAAGGAGAAGTAAAGGCAAGA